CGCAGCTTCGTGGAGAAGAAAACTGCTTTTTCCTACATTTTTATTAATTGAAACCGAATGGAGAAAGAAGGGGAGAGAGACGAGAGGCGGAGGGGGTGTCCGAGAATGGAAAGAGTGAGGGCGAAAAAAATTTATAGGTCACGTGGGGTCACATGTGCGTAGATTGTATGAGAGCATTAATGGATGTTAACGACAGGGGAGAATTAGTTAATCGTGAAAAACAATAAAAATAGTGTTAGTCAATTTTTAAACAGTAAGGATACACTTAGTCAATTAGCTATAGTTAAGTAAGATACACTTAGTCAATTAGCTTAGTTTTCTCTCTTTGTCACTGAACAATAGAGGCGGCGACAAACCTACCCTCTCTCTCTTTTCTTCCCTTTTCTTCTACTCCTTCTCGTACCTACGACCATCCCTATTCATCATCTTCTCCAAAAACACAAAACTCCCAACGGCGATACTCTCTCAGCATTTTCACACTACTCCAGTGTGAATCTCAACCATTGCTCGGTTCCATTTTCTTCCCGCATTAGCTCTCTTCTCCTTTCCATCATTCAAGGTTTTTTGTAAACAATCAATGAAAGCTCTCTTCTCAGTCCTCATTTCTGGTTAACAAGAAACGTTAATGGTAGCGGAAATATGGCTACTTCATCATCTCTTTCCCTTTTGAAGGAGATTTGCAGCTAAGGGGATCGTCCTCTCTCATCAAACTTCCAACTGCAGTCACTATTCCCATCGGAAGAAAGATGTATTGAAATCATGATAAACTCGGACCTCTTCTACTTCATTGTTTATGTGTATACCTAAATCGCACTAGACGAGTCTAGTACACATCTTGATCATTGTCACCAAGAGCTAATACAAGCCAAAATCTGACTAGGTTAACTATGCAATCATCCTCTTAACATTTCCCATTGTTATTTTCCTTCTAAGTTCCTCTTCCTCGTTTCCTGTTTCTATTCTTCTCTTTTTTTTTTTTCTTTTGTATATTTTTGACATAAGATGGATAGGATCTGAAAAGGCGGTTGAAGTTGGTGATGAGATAGTCGTCGAACCAACTTCTACAAAGGGCCCATAGAAACCCATATTTTATTTCTCACACGGTGTTAACCTTTGTTTTTATTTTTTTATTTCTGAATTGCATGCTCTGTTTTTATTTTTTTCCCTCTACTTTGTTTTGCGACAAAGATCCCCCTTGTTCTATGTCCGTGAGACAAAGACCCCTTCTGCTAAGACTTTTGTTAAAATCCGCCGTTACATTATGAACAACAGTGGCAGTAGCTGTTGCAGTGGCAGCGGACTTCGGAAGGAGTTCGTTGATTCACTCTTGCCCTGCAATCCCAATAAATGATCCGGATGTAAAGAAAATTAAGGAGAGCAAGGGAGTGAAGATCCTGAGGCCAGACTCGGCTCTTGGTATTGCAAGCAGTGGTGGATTTGGTGAGCCTGGTGCTGTGGCGGCAATTTGGATGCCCATGTTGTGGGTAGCAAACTTCAAAAGGAGGGACACCAGAATTAATCCCACGATGTTATGCAATACTGTTTTTGGTTCTTCCAAACACTGGTGGTAGAGTTTGGACTTGCCATGAATTGGAGATAGTGGAGATGGTTGCTGATCAGGTGGCTGTTGCTCTATCCCATGCTGCAGTTCTGGAAGAGTCTCAGCTCATGAGAGACAAACTAGCAGAGCAGAACCAGGCACTGCAACAGGTTAGGGAGAAAATATTTATCTTGGGACTGCTGTCTGTAATACGGCATGAGAATCTGAGCAGTGAGCAGCATTGTACTCTCAACCCTGATAAATGAACAAGGAAGCAGCTTGTCTTGCCAAGTGTCTATGTGCTTGTAAAGGTTTCTCTTTCACCATGGAGGTTGAGAACTCAGTGCCTGATCAGGTAATAGGAGATGAGAGAAGAATTTTTCAGGTGATATTGCATATGGTTGGGAATATTCTGAAGGAAATTTTCATGTGACATTGCAATTAAACATTTTATTTTCATTGATAAAAAATTGAATATTTTATTTTTAAAATTATTACGACTTTGAACAGGATATACCAAGCCATAAAATCTTTTATCTTAATATTCAATCGAAAAGCCATGTCTACTGATGGCAATTGGCCAATAAGGTTTGCCAAATTGTTATTTTTTTATATGTATTGCCAAATTATCTTCATTCTTATGGGATGTATTTGCTTGCATTGATAACTCTAATGTGTGGCTCATATTTGGTTATCTGCTTGGGCTTGGTTCATGCTTCTATTGATAACTCTAATGAAGTATATGTAAGTGATGGATATGTACATCAGTGAACAACTTGTATGCCTTGGTGATTAATTTTGCATCTTATATTTCACAATTTACTATCTTGATTTTGAAACCAATATGCAGATGATGAAAGGGAACATTTGGGTAATTCCAAACAATAAGGATTTTGCACAAAGCACGAGACCTTAAGTTTCAACTCCAACCATCTATAGGAGGAGGCATCTTTAAACCAGGTGGATCATCAGAGCAGCTACCTTCAGAATTCAGAGGCCTTCAAGTTATATTAGTTGATTATGATGACATCAATGGGGCTGTGAAACGAAAGCTCCTTGAGAAAAGCTCGGTTGTCAAGTTACTGTTGTTTCCTCTGGGTTTAAATGCCTTAGACTTGGGCTCTCTGGAACTTCATTTCACATCATTCTTTTGGACCTCAACGTGACCGAGATGGATGGCTTTTAAGTTGCATTTTAGTTTAGAGGTTATTTTAAATAATTTTTATTTTTCCATTAAGATTTGTTCAAACTGGTTGTACTTAGATATCCTACCCATGTATGACCCGGAACATGATACGATTTCTTCTATAATAAAGTTGGTTGATGTAATGATGTTTATGGGAATTTTTCACTTTTATTTTTTAAATGTTTCTTTTATTTACAAAAAATAATTTTATATTGGATTTTAGTTTTAGTTTATTTTGTTCTACTTTTACAGTTTAAACTTTTAATAGTTTTACTAGCATTAATCAATAATAATTATTTAAAAACTTACATTTAGTTAAATTAATTAATTAATTACTTCCATTTCATTACATTAAGTGATATTTATTAACTCTATAAATAATCTTTCTCAGTACATGATTTTAATCGTAATCTTGGTAATTGCCCGTGTTTAGCACGGGCGCCCCTCGCTAGTAGTTATTACAACGGTAATACAGGGATTGAAAAATACTGTAACGGCAGGCTTCAACACAAGGCTAACGGAATGTGGTTTTTGTCTTACGGTCATAATACAGGGGGTCTTTGTCACAGACCCTATAGTACAGGGGGTAGGGGTGATCAGCCAGGCCAGACCGGGCTTTGCACTTATGATAAGGGCTAAAGGTTAGGCCCGGGCCTGGCCCGGCCTGGGGTTCCGAGCTTGTAACATAAGCCTTAGCCCAGGTCTACACGGGCCCAGGCCGGGTTGGGCCTGATTTTGGGCTAATATCTTTCATATATAAAGCATTATATATCTATAACATTTTATATTAAATGACATAACATGCATATAAACTTTTATTTTATATACTATATAATATGGAATATTACATAAAATATAAATTATACATGTCATGTTATAATATTTATATATAAAATATATAATATAATGTAAAATAAGATGTATACATATGTATTATACACAAAATGTGTAAATTTAAATATATGAGGGCTGGGTTTGAAGTATTAAGCCCAAGCCCAACCCTAAAATTTGCGGGCCTGATATGGGCTTGGGCCTAGGCCGGGCCTAAACACAAAACCCAGGCCCAAGCCCAAAGTTTCCGGAATGGGCTTGTGTGGTCCAGGCCGGGCCAGGATGAAATGATCACCCCTAGGGGGTCTTTGTAATGTACCCAAAAAGAATACAAAATATAGCAAAAAAAATCTTTATGGTAATGGGTTCAAGTTCAACCCATGCGTTAGAGGGGCTAGTTTAGCAGTTAGAATATGCCAATAAGTGGGGAGAATTGCAGGGAAAGGGTATTTTAATCGAATAGTTGGTGCATAAACACAAATAGGATTTCAAAAAAAAAGTAATAGTAACAAATAAAAAATAATACTCAAATAAAAAAAATAGATAAAAAACATAATAATAAAAATAAAAATAGGGAGGTTTTTCTTTTGCGTTGGCATGTTATCGGGGTTTACTCTCTTTATTGTTAGTTTGTTTAAATAATTATGTCTGTGTTTACGCTTGTTTGTGATGTCATGTGGGTCTCACCTATTGGATCCGGGAGAGGAGTGCCTAACCTCTACCCTCTCCTATCCGAGTTTTACCTCGATTGATTAGCTAGTGCCTCTGGCTTTGGAGTCACTATTTAATAAAAATGAGTTTTGATGCGACTCTGAAAATCCATTCACCTCCACTTCCTAATCTGATAGGTGATGACTCCATTTCAACCTAAGTGAACCGTTTCTCGATACTCACACCAACTGTTGCAAGGATCACCGAAGATTGGCTAGCTTTTTTAATAAATAAAAAAAAAAAGAATACTGCAAGTGTAAGACCTGTTCGTCAACAATCAGATAAATAGATACCACCATTTCAACTCCTATTTATCCTTGAAATATAATTTACTGAAACTAAATGGGAAAGGAAAACAATGAAACCAGTTTTACCGCCTTTTAAGAGTTCTACACAACTTTCATGAACTGAGAAATATATGTGGGAAGTACCAACAACCTTGCATGTTTACTTGTTTTTAGTTGCTTAAAATGATGAATTATCATGGTAAAGTGGTCTGCTTACGTCACCATGACACTGACGAACCAAACTACTCAATAGAAAACATTAAGCTCTGTTTTGATCTTAAGGTAAAAGATAATGAACAATATTTTTTAAAAGATAATTTTAATATTTTAAAAGTTTTAAATTGCATAAATTTCACATGTCATCATGTGATGTTATATAAATAACTTTATTAGGGAGAGACATTTTGAAAGTTTGAGTCTGAATGGTCCATTTTAAATTTGTGGGAACTAATTGCCCGAGAGTTTAAAGTTGTGGGAACTAATAAAGTTTTCCCTTATATATACATATATGCATATGCATATTCCCTCCTCCAAAACCAAAAGCATCTCCGCCTGCGGCACTGGTCCGGTCGTCCGGGGGTTTTCCATCTTTCCCCCATTCTCTTCTGTATTGTCATTGTTCTTGTCAACGAGTGATTGTTTTTGTTCATTTTTATTTGTATCTTTTGCAGTGCATGGGGTTTTCCTAAGATCTTCGGAGTTTCTTATTCCTTTTTCCTTGCTTCACTTGAGTTACAAGAAAAATCTTACGCTTTTTAGTCTGCGAATTATAATTCTCAGTACTCGGTGGTAGGTATCACTAGCTCTGTTTCGCTTTACAAAATGACTGTTGGAGCTGGAATTTCCGTTGCTGATGGCAAGTTGATGGTTCTGGGTAACTGCATTCTGTCTGATGTTCATGAGAACATCGTCATCACTCCCGCTAGTGGTGAGGCATTGATCAATGGAGCTTTTATCGGTGTCACCTCTGATCATAGTGGAAGTCGTCGCGTCTTTCCTGTCGGCAAGCTTGAGTATGTTTTCCAATTTTTCTAAGTAAATTGTTCTATTGTTTATTTGATTTGCCCCTTCTGGTTCATGTATTTCTCTGTTCATAAGACAATGCTAGTATAACCCTTTTTTCTTTTCGTTCTTAATTTATAGGGGATTGCGTTTCATGTGTCTCTTCCGCTTCAAGCTATGGTGGATGACACAGAGGATGGGTTCTTCGGCCAAGGATATCCCATTTGAGACACAGTTTCTGATTGTCGAAGGACACGACGGGTCTTACTTCGGTGAAGGTGTAGACCAATCAGCGGCTTATATCGTTTTCTTACCTATTCTAGAGGGAGCCTTCAGAGCTGTTCTTCAAGGCAATGCAAATGACGAGTTGGAGATCTGTTTGGAAAGTGGTATGGCGGAGTAACATTTTGGATGGATTTTGACATCGTTGGTTCAAATATCACGAAGGTATTATATGTTTTTTCTTTCTGGTTTTAAGAGAAACACCGGTGCATGCAGGGGATCCTGCTGTTGATGGATTTGAGGGGAGTCGTTTGGTTTTCGTAGGAGCTGGATTAGATCCATTTGATGCCATAACGAATACTGTGAAGTAAGAAAGCTTATCCCCTTTGTTTTCCACAAAAAAAGCTTATTTATCCCTTGGACCATTTCATACCCTGAAATTTTATTTTTTATCTTGTCACTTCATCTTGCCTAATGTCATGATTTTATGTTGGAGGGAAGATTCAAATTACAAGAATCTGATCTCCCTCCCTTTTCCTTTTGGTTTGTCTTTATTAGTTTTACTTTTTTTCTCTTACAATCGTCTTAAAAACTTCTCGTCGTCACATTGCTTATCAAACAGATAGGAGTAGGGACAACAGGAGGAAGGCATAAACAATATTTACATGCATGTGAGTGGTTTGGAGTGATTTCCACACACGTGTGCCACACCAAATTTAATTTTAAACGTCTCCTTTCTCGTATTTGTCTCTTCGTTTTTGCCTCTATGTGTTTCCTCTAATAAGTGCACTATTTAAAGGATCTAAGAAAGGACACATTCGGGTGAATGAGAGCATTCTATAAATAGTGTTGATCGATCCAGCCATAGAACATACAATCACACAGCCCTCTGTCTTCGTCTTCTTTGAGCATTATCTTTAGTGGTTCGTAGAGGTTTGGTAAACGAATGCATGTCTACCAGAAACCTGTGGGTTGTTTTATCTTTGAGACTGATTTGCATTTACCTAACTGCACCATAGGGGGCAAATGCGGTTTTAAGGAGAGACCAAGTGGCACGATTCAACCCATTCTCATACTGCATTTCTTAGTTTCTCAATACCGGGTTTTGCAACATCACTGCACTTTGGGTTTGGAAAGTATTGACTGATAAGTTCCATTCTGCCTTTTTTATTATATTTTTACAACATTTTATCTTGAGGAACAGCTATAGATCTGGCTGTTGATAGAGTTTCTTCATTTTCCTTTTTCCTTGTTACATAGCTGAGAATTTTAAGACTTAGGACAAACGGGGGGGGGCTTGTTCATCAGTTCATGTAAACATGATTTAGATCGTGGACTTATCATATCTTAAACTTCTACAGAACTGTGGAGAAACACTTACAAACATTTTCTCATCGTGAAAAGAAGAAGGTATTTCTTTTATCTCACTACTTCAACCTATGTCCTTTTTGGTTAAAAGTTGTTCTTCACAAGGCTTGAACTATTAACCTGTATTTGAAAACAAAGCCAATGAGGCTAATGACTATTTCAACTTAAGAGGAACTGGTGGAACAGGATTTACATAGCCGATCCCATATAGTAGGGATAAGGCTTAGTTGAGTAGTTGAATTGGTGTAGCAGTTTTTTTTTGGTAGAAATTTGGAGAATCAGTTATGTATATATATTTTCTATTTTAGATGCCAGATATACTTAACTGGTTTGGCTGGTGTACATGGGACGCGTTCTATACGGATGTGACTGCAGAAGGAGTGAGACAAGGCTTAAAAAGGTAAAACTCGACTTGGCTGTATCTGATAAATATTTTTTTCCTGGTAAAGTGGAGTGATATATCCCTATCTTTTTGCAGCCTGGAGAAAGGTGGAACTCCCCCAAAGTTTGTCATAATTGATGATGGATGGCAAACAGTTGGTATGGATGCCACTGGGATCGCATCAGGTGTTCAAGATGCAGCAAAGTGAGCAGCTATCTCAGCATCCAGATTTTTTTTGCCATTTGTAGTTTTACATGCTAGCTTCATCTTGGTATCATCTTTTTGCTTTCAGTTTTGCTAACAGGTTAACCCATATCAAAGAAAATCACAAATTTCAGAAAAATGGCAAGGAGGGCCACAGAGAAAAAGACCCGGCAATGGGAATTGCTCACATTGTTACTGAAATCAAAGATAAGCATGCTTTAAAGTAAGCTTACCTTATTTAGTATTTTTCTTGTTTCGTATTTGTGTATTAGTTAGGGCCTTAGGGGCCATTGGTTGGTTTAATGGTAATTGAGTCTAAGGGCAGCCACTTTGTGCAGAAAAAAATGCCAAAGTTTAGGACTGTACCTGGTCTAATCCTCCCAAGACCCCAGATTGCTGAGACTAACATTGGGTAATGGTCCTTTTTCATTTGTATATTAGTTGAGTGACATATGCATTTGCGCGTGCAAGAAAAAAGAAAGATGAGTAGATTTGGGAGAGAAGAGATGGACTAAAATTTTTGTGACAGTGGTCATTTTGATGTGAAGCTAAGGGAAAATATCAGCTTTATATATTATTTATGTACTTGTTTGTTTATTTGAGGAAGGAGGGATTGTATCTAAGTTACTTTTCATCAAAAGCAGATTGTACTTCATTTAATTATCCTATCCTACTGTTTCTTTAATCAATGTGTTATTTTATAGAGAAAATTTTCTGACCACATGTTCATCTGTTCATCTTCCTTCCAATCTTTCCGTCCAGATATGTTTATGTGTGGCATGCGATAACTGGGTATTGGGGTGGTGTTAAGCCTGGTGTTGCAGAAATGGAACACTATGAATCGAAGATGTCATACCCCATTTCATCTCCTGGGGTTCAGTCCAATGAGCCATGTCAAGCTCTGAACAGCATTGCTCTTAATGGCCTAGGTCTTGTGAACCCTGAGAAAGTTTTCAACTTCTACAGTGAACTACACTCGTATCTTGCATCAGCTGGCATTGATGGAGTCAAAGTAGATGTTCAGAACATACTTGAGACTCTAGGAGCTGGCCATGGAGGGAGAGTGAAACTTGCTAGGAAGTACCATCAAGCATTAGAGGCTTCAATTGCTAGAAACTTCCAGGACAATGGAATTATATCTTGTATGAGTCACAATACAGATGGTTTATACAGGTACTTGCAGCTCTCATATTTGTTTTCAGTGTTTTCATCATCTAATTTTAATATCCAGGAAAAAATGTAGAATGTACATCTAGAATTTTGATATGGTAATGTGTTTTTTATATAGCTCAAAGCGCACAGCTGTGATAAGAGCATCAGATGATTTCTGGCCAAGAGATCCAGCATCACATACGATTCATATTGCTTCTGTTGCCTACAACAGCATTTTCCTTGGGGAATTCATGCAACCTGATTGGGATATGTTCCATGTAAGCTTAAAAGTTACCATTTTATGATCATATAGACTTTCAATGGCATAAGTTGCTGAATAGTAACTTGTTTTTAACAAGTGTTGTTGGATAATAAACTTTGAGAATCATGTTCTGATCAGAGCCTCCATCCCATGGCTGAATACCATGGAGCAGCTCGTGCAGTTGGAGGATGTGCTATTTATGTCAGGTTTGTAACTTCATAGGTCTGTGTTCTGGTTGTTGACAATGTGAAGGAATAGTTTTTCATGTTGGTACCCATTTCATGCAGTGACAAACCTGGACATCATGACTTCAACTTATTAAAGAAGCTTGTACTTCCTGATGGATCCATACTGCGGGCCAAACTTCCAGGAAGACCTACAAGGGATTGCTTGTTTTCAGACCCTGCCAGAGATGGAAGGAGGTAGGAAGTGTCTTACTTACACAGATAGACACATGCACATGTATTCATCCACAGCTTACATATGGAATCTGAATGATTCTGATTAACTCACCATTGCTGCCATACAGCCTCCTTAAGATATGGAATCTGAACGATTTCTCTGGAGTTATGGGAGTTTTCAACTGCCAAGGAGCAGGATGGTGTATGGTTGGAAAGAAGAATCTAATCCATGATGAACAACCTGGGACAATCACTGGGGTTATCCATTCAAATGATGTTGAGTACCTACCAAAAATTGCTGAAGATGGATGGAATGGAGATGCTGTCATTTATTCTCATTTGGGTGGTATGAACTGCTTGCTAAACTTACATATTGCATCTCTGTCATATTATGCTCTTTAATATATAGGATTGCTAAAAATTTTGATAATAAGTCAACTTCTATAAATTAGAAGCTGGTCAAAGACTTCAAGTTGTAGAAACATGTAACATTTATATTTGGTTCTATATTAATTCTGTTCTTGTGCCATTGCAGGAGAGGTTATTTATCTTCCAAAAAATTCTTCTTTGCCAGTTACTTTAAAATCCCGTGAATATGAAGTCCTTACAGTGGTCCCTGTTAAGGAACTCTCCAACAGACGACTTTTTGCTCCTATTGGACTAATCCAGATGTTTAACACTGGAGGAGCCATCAAGGATTTGAGATATGAATCTGAGAGAAGCTCAACAATTGATATGAAAGTACGAGGATGTGGCATATTTTGTTGCTATTCATCTGTTCAGCCTAGGAGGATAACTGCTGATACAGAGGAAGTAGAGTTTACATATGATGGAGGCTCCGGTTTGGTAGGCATTGTCCTGAGAATCCCAAACGAAGAGCTATATCAGTGGCACGTAACCATAGAGCTCTAAATGGTTCTATCATCCGGTTTTTAGGGGAGTCGATGTATCCAATTTTAGTCCAATATCTCTTGCTTAACCTCAAGAGTTGCTTAAATGGACATGAGTTTGCAATATGTTTTGTAGTGCATGGAAATGAATGGTATGAGCAATCTATGTGGATTGTCTTTCCTTGTTTTAGTAAAGGTGTATGTTTGCACCTATTCATGAGTATAGGGGATGGGCTACCCCTCTTGTGTAGTCCCATGAACCGCAAAAAATAAAAAGCAAAAAAAAAAAAAAAAGAAAAGGCTCTCTCTCTCTCTCCATCTATATAGCAAATTGGTCCACGTTACCTTGTTTCTCCTTGCTCCATTACCTTTATCCTGCATTCTCCTTGACTCTCTCCTCTCCCCCTCCCACTATTCTCAATTTGCCACTTCAACACCTATTTTCTTCGTTCCTCTCTCTCCCCTAACTCATGTCTCTCACTTTCTATAACAACCTAACTTCTCTCCTTAATTTGTTTCATGCGTCTCTGTTTTTATTTAATGGCAAAACTACCTCCACTCGAGTTTATCATCTTCTTCCATTCGGAACCCTACAACAAGGCAGCGGCGGCATTTAGTTGCAGGTCCACGGGCGACATTTGATTGCAGGTCCACCGGCGATGTTACCATGCTCTTCACATTGCCGTGTTCGATTTTATAGAAAATAAAGAAAAACAAAAGGTTTGTGGAATTTGCAAGCTCCCTTGTCGCGGGATGTAATTGTGGTAAGAGAAACAGGGAGGGCATGTCGAACGTCGTATTGAACGGATTGGCTGGAGACGGAGGAGGCATCATTGCTCAGATAATCATATATCCTCTCCAAACCGTAATTTCTATTTCTTCCTCTCACCTTTCCCTTTCTCACTGTTGTGTTCCTTTGGGGACGTATGTATGTTTTTCCCCAAATGTATTACATTTGAGCGTGTGGTTTCAGGTAAACACGCGCTAGCAAACAGAAAGGGTTGCCAAGAAAGGGCTTCTCCCTCATTGCGATGGTGCCTCATCTCCTTCCAATCGTCTCCCAAGCGGTACTGTAATGGAAATCCTTTAGGTATTCACCCACTCCTCTCTCTCTATTTTACTATTTGATTCCTACTTGAAATTATGAGCTTCATTCTCTAACTCCCCTTTATTCGCTTCATTCTTTGACTCCTCTCTCTCTCTGTTTTTCATCTTTTCCATATTCACCATCGAGTTTACCGAGGAAGGGATCCTGTGATGCATTGCTTCTTATTTCTCCCCTTATGGGTCTATCCCGAATTAAGTTAAAATGGTGAACTATAGGAAATATAGGAAATGTTGAAACCGTTTCAGAACGTTGTGAGAGAGATTTGAAAACATTTAAGAAACAAAGTTTGGAAGCCATGAAGGTTGTTAATTGGAAGTCTTTCTATTGTCCAATCTAAGTTCCCGTGATTTTAATAGATCCGGTGAAGAAAATGATAGGGAGAGGGAGAGATCTAAGTGGAGGGTAAAATTGTCATTTGTGTTAATATAAACACTAATGGGAAAAGTAGCTTATTAAACATCCCCACTCCAATAAGTATTTAAAAATATAATAAGTGATTTGAAAAGTGGATTACCAAACAACCTTAAGGGTTGTTAAAATAAGTACTTTTAACAAGTACTTGATCATCAAACAGGGCCTTAAGAATCCATCATATGGATGATCAAATCATGTTATATGGCTGGGTGAAATTTTAAAATTTTTTTAACCTTTTTAGGAACTAATTTCCTAGTAAATTTGAAAATTGAATTTTTAGGATTGATCTTGCACTGATCCAAACCAGATTTGAAACCTAAGAGAAGGGAGATTATAGTTGATACAGATATCACAAATTGCATATCTCAATGTGGTAGTTCACGCCCAATATTAGTCCCAAAACCGTCCAACTGAAAATGGTGTAGTGTATAGGAGAAATTGATTCAACAACTCTAATTTCAGTAAATCTACTATCCAACTACTATCCAACTGGATTGGATCTTGTGGGATGAGTGAATTTGATATTCTTCAACGTTTTTCTTTCAAAAACTAGAAGAAAAATTGATCAAAATCAATTCTTGAAAAGTTTTGGTCATGATAGGGTTTCTGGGAGAAGAGAGAAGAGAGAGTAAGAGAGTGAAAAAAAACAAGTTCTATTTGCCTTCTTTCTCTTAACCCCCTTATATGGAGCACTCTCCTAATCTGATTAGGAGATTATCCAAACATAATTTGGATCTGAACTCTTTTAAGAGAAAAGCATTATCCTCTTAAGATGATAGGTGCTCTATACCCAGAACCATGCCCAGTTTTGACCCAAATCACATGAGTTGTCATGTGACAGTTAAGGTTTGAAGTATCGGAAATGTAAGGTGTATCGGAAAGATAATTTTAAGAGACATATCGGGATACGCTTTGGATACGTGTGGATACGGATGAAAAATCAAGATATGCATAAATATGTTAAAAAATTCAAATAAATCCTAAAAAATATATTAATAATGATAGTTACAAGTTTTACATGATTGTAAATAAGTTATTTAAAAGTAAAAAAAAAAAACTGTAATTTAATGGTCTATATAAAATTCAAGATATCAGGACAAACTTAGTAACTATTGACAAATGATGGAATAACTAAAATGTGAAAAAACAAAAGAAAACTAAAATGTATATTGATATACATTATTTTAAAATAATCAATATAATTTATCTTAATATTTATTAATACATAAATTTTAATAATTAATTCTAACATTTATTGATAAGCATACACTAAGAGAAAGAGAAAATTTACTTACTAATAAAAATGCATAAACCTATAGCAAGCAAATGGGCGTGGCTTAGTGGTGAACCTCTAGTTGTTAAAGCCTATTGGCTAAGGTTCGAATCATGTTATTGATAAGTTCGTAGTTTTATACTAACAAAACAAATTTAATGAGAAAGAGGGTTATTAATTAACGAAATTAATGAGAAGAGAATTCTAATTAAGCGCTAAAATTGAAATTCAAATTTAAAATTATGCATTAAGTACATGAGTAATTAACTAATTAATAAAAGAAATTTCACTTAAATATAGGAGTAAATACAAAATTAATGAGAGGTAATTTGGCCCTAAATATAATTTAATGAGATTAATGAGAGAAAAGGGGACTTGCAAAAGTTTGAACCTTAGTGACAGCTTAACTAATCATATTTGTAATGAGCTTTAAGCCCATTTTCTTTAAAGGTTCACATCCCCAAGTGTTGCATGGCCACTTTGGGCCTAATATTGTATGGCGTGGGACCACACAAAGGTCTCACACAAGTCCATGAGAGTTCGGCCCCACCTATGAAAGAGGCCAAGCCGAATTCGAATTCGAAATCGGTTCAAATTCGAATAATTCAAATGATGCAAATAGTCGAATTCAAATATATGCTTTGTACCGATTAAGTAATCAAATCGAATTCGAATACATGTTGATTCGATTCAATAATTATCTGAATTCGATTATTATAATAATATATTACAAAAGAAAGATACATGTCTTAAAAGTTAGAACCTCAGTCAAGTGTCTTTAACTTTTTATATTATATTTTATTATATACTCTTATTTTAATATGAAAAATAAAAAAATAACTAATTGCTTCTACCATGATAAGACCACTCGGTTTAGACTTATTTTCATTAGTTGATAGGTGATAAAAGTGCATTAATTACTTCAACCTGCTTGGTCTCATCTCCCCCCATTTCCCTCCCTTGTATCTCTCATTTTTTCATTCCCCTACATTGACTTCCTCCTCGACGTTTGGTTTTTCTGATTTTCATGGAAGAGATTAAAAAAAAGAATAACGCATATTGAAAGCAAAGATCATGTATCAATGAAGCAAAAGAGAGTTTCACAATAAATGAATAGCACAGTTGTAGTTATCATCCATTTGTTTTATGGTAGACGAAAAAAATGTTGCAGTCTCTCCCTCTCTTGCTTTCTCCATGTTCTTTGTCCATCTTCTCCGTTGTTTGTTCCAAATTTTATTAGGTTTTTTGTTTTTCTTTTCTATTTTTCCTTTATTCATTCGCCTTCTTCATTTACAAAAACAATGTATATCCTTTGTTCATTTAAAGAAAACAAGCTGAGACTTTCTCCATAATTCATTCAAAGGGAACAAGAGGGTTCATTCTTGGATTTCAAGAATTAGGATGCAATCCATCGATTTCGAATTAATCGAATATTCGATTATTCGATTATCTAGTCAAATTCCAATTCAGTTTTTAATTTTTAATATCCGTCAAATTTGAATTTGAATTCGAATAGTCAGTTTTATAATCGAATTCGAATTCAAATATGACGTGATTTGACTTGAATTCGCTCCGTTTATAGGCCTAGTTCAGAGCAGTAAATCCCTAAGCCAATCAACATGGGCTCAGTCTGGGCCCAATATTTACACCTAAATGATTATTGGATTTAGCCACCTTATGAAGACCCAAGGATAGTGGACTTAAGTGAGATAAAGCCCATAAGGTAATCAACCCGGTAATGCTCTCTCATACTTAACCTTTCAGTCCATAATGATCAAAACACTGTTCGACAGGGATAAACCTCTCCCTTGGCTGCAAGGTGCAGTGCAACATTCTCTGCTCAGATGGATCCTAGGATTAAAACTTTTTTCATTATATAGAAGTATATAACATATAAATACATTTTTGCAAAAATAGATTTCAAATAAAGTTGAAATCCACTGCTAGCAGTTTAGGTTTCCACCAAAGAGTGTAAACCCTAATATTCACTTTATCTGAAAAAGAGACCAATCCTATCACTATATATATAACAAAGTGGTTCATGTCACCTTGCTTCTCCTTGCTCCATTAACCCAATCCTTCATTCTCCTTGACTTTCTCCTCTCCCCCTTCCCACTACTCCCAATTTTCCATCTCAACACTCTCTCTCTTCATTCCTCTCCCTTACCATTGGGTTCTCTCTCTCACCCAACTCATGTCTCTCACTTTCTATAACAACCTAACTTCTCTCCTTAATTAGTTTAGTATATGTTTTTATCCTCTCATTCACTTCTATCTCTAATTCCCCTCTATTCTCTCCACTTTCCCATAAAAATAGGGCAATAATTTATTAAGGTTTGGTTTTCCAAATCAAACAATATTTATATCTATAGACATGATTTCAAGCAAAGGGGAATAAGGGGAATTCAATGTTTCCTATATATTCATGACATCTTCCATTATTGTTAAATAATTTATTCTTAAATAATAATCTATTGTTAAATAATCCATTAGTTATGAAAAAATATTCTCAAAACTATTTAAGTAATAATCCATTATTATTATTCAACTAAATAATTATTAAAAATTTAGGAAAAATAAATTAGAAAATTAATTAATTAGAAATTGTTTCATAATTATTTAAATAATAAACCGTTATTATTGTTTCAATAAATAATTATTAAATAATTTAGGAAAATTATTAAGTCTACTGGCAACGATCTAGACCACTTGGTTGACTTCGATTATACTTGGTTTTACATTAATTAACAAAAAATGGTTTACTTTTAATTAAAAATGATGTAATTTACCATAATTACATTAATTTATGTTAATTACATTTACTTTGATTAATAGTAAATAATTTAGGCTTATAAGTAGATAATTTATATTAATTTATAGTTATTGTAAATAATTAATTTTCTATGCATTACTACTAATCAATAGAAATTTCAATAATTTTTTGGAAATTGTCAAAAAATATTATAATTTATTGTTATTTAATTTACTATTACTTAATTAGTTATAGAAAATTATTAGAATTGTAGGGATGACAATTTTTCCTATAAAACTGGGGCCCTACCCTGCCTCGCCCCAAATAGGGCAAGTTTTCTCAAATCTTAAATGGGGATGAGGTAGAAACGAAGTGGGGACATGGAAAATATTTTTGCCCCAAATTAGGGATGGGACTTGCATATAATTCCCTAAACCCGATGGTAAATTAGTAAAATACTCTTAGATTTAATATTAATTTTTAAAATATCTCTAAGTTTTCCTATACTCTTATAATCCTAAGATCCCATAATTTCATTTATAAAAGACCCCCAAATT